TAATAAATATATGTTTCATTCTATCAACTATTACTTTATATACTTTAATTCTTGAGAGTAGATGTGTAAATTGGTGCAGGCTGGTAGGGGCCCTAGTGCATTACTTTGCCCAGGGGCCCATGATGCTATTAAGACTCAGGCATGCAGGCAGGACAGTGTGTTTAGCAGAGAAAACCTCTCCTCCCTTCCTGAAGGCTTCTGGGATGAACTACATCACTTTGGCCTAGACCAGAAACCAGGAACTAACTGAAGAAATGTAAAAAAAAGCGTAAAGCAAGTAACACCCCGGTCACATCAAAGCCGATTTTGAAATCGTGCGACTTACAGTGAAGTCGCACACTTTCAAAATTGGATGACTTGCCGATTTGAGGTGCTATTTGCAAGACATCTGATACAGATGTCCCTGCAAATCGCACCAAAAGTAGTACATGCACTACTTTAGAAACCGGTGTGGATCCGACCAAGTCAGAACCGCACTGATATGACCGCTCTAATAGGGTGTGACTTGGCATACGATTTGCAAGTCGAATGGCAAGTCGCATCCGATGTGACCGGGGGCTTAATCCAATATACCTTTCTATTGTATATATTTACTAAAGCTAGCAGCATACGGAATAAAAAATTGTTCATGTTGATTGAGAGAGAAGTTCCGTTTTAATTGGTAATTTTACTTATACAAAATCTCTACACTAAAAGAGGGACATTTGAGAAGTAATGAGGAACAGAGGAATTTGGTTCTGGATGAGGAACAGTTCGGAGGTCTGCTGTTCATTGTGAAAAAAACAAACTTTAGCTACATTTTTGGATATCGTTTGGAGCAGTTAAAATGCTTTTTTCTGTTTCAGTTCTTTAATTTTGTCTGTGACCCCACTGGGGAGATTTGCCCTATTTCCTGTCCTTGTGACACCTGGTAGGCACACAGACTTACTTGGAAGTGAAGCCAGCATGAGGATGAAATCAGCAGAGGCTGCATCTTCATCCAGAGGTCAGCAATGGAAGATCCATATTTCTAATCTGACAAATAAATGGCCCAGCATTTTCTTATTACACTAAAAAAAGAAATCGTTTTTGCCTGTAAATGGCAATCACCGAGTGACCTTCAGCTTAGTCAGAATCTGCCGCTGTGATTGTACTGGGATGCACGTCCCGTTCTCAAATGTATTTGAAGATATCATTCTCATGACTCACTCCCATGGAATAATTGTCAAATCCCACTTCATAGGGTAAATGGCTGCTGCTCTCTGCTGTGCTGAATACATTGATTGCTCCCACTGTTGACTCTTATGTGCTATTCATCCACTTACTGATAATGATAGCTAGTTTATGGGATGTCAGTTTCTTACAGGCAAACTACAATGATTGTTGTCTATTTTTGTAGTTTTTTTTTTTAATGTTTTATATTTTTTTATGAAACTTCTTTATTTTTAAAAATATACATTTAAGACATGTAGCACTACCTCCTTAGGAGTCGCTAAAGATTTGGATCCGCCCATTGGTCCCATGCAGCCAGGCAACATGCATTTCTTTCATGTCTTGCACTTGGGGTTAATAACTCAGATGGGGTCGGGGGGTGTATGGGATGCCCAAGGAACTGTTAAATGGAGGACAACTTCCTGAAACTAGGTACAAGTCCATAGAAGAGTTTCTCTTCTTGGAGAGCTCTCCAGCCTCTCCTGGTGTACCACCCCAAACCCCAGATAGTTATCCTCTATCCAGCTGTCTGGAGGAATCCCTGAACAAGGGGATCTAGTCCATCTGGGAGCTAGTTAGGTTTCCCACCCAAATGTTCTCCCCTCTACTCCAGTCCAGCAGGTGTAGAAGTACTCACTGTCCCTTTTCTGCAAGCTGCAGGTTGGTAGCTACTTTCAGGCCTTCTGCTGGTTGACTCCTTCCTTAGCTCCACAGATGGTTCTCTCTTGGGGAACTGGTGAGGTTCAGCTTTCCCTCTGTCCTATTCCTTTCTGGAGGCAGGCCCCTTCCATGGGCCCCCTCCCAGGCTCCACACCAGCTTTGCTCTCACACCTTCCACCCGAACTCTCCTGCTAGTGAGCAGGCTCAGATACTCTTAAGGGCTGCCCTGACCCCATGCCAAGACTCCTGCTCGGGGATTGGCCAGGATCCCTTAAGAGTGCAGACCAGCTCCTCCTCACCCCCGCTCGCTGAGTTCTAGAGACTTCTCCAGGTACCTGGACACTACAGAGGCTGCACAGGTGGTCAAACTCCTCCAGGATGGCACATCAATACATGCCATTGCCAGAAGGTTTGCTGTGTCTCCCAGAACAGTCGCAAGAGCATGGGGGAGATTCCAGGAGACAGGCAGTTACTCTAGAAGAGCTGACAGGGCTGCAGAAGGTCCTTAACCCATCAGCAGGACCGGTATTTGCTCCTTTGACAGAGCTGGATTGGCATTTGCCATTGAACACCAGAATTGGCAGGTCCACCACTGGCACCCTGTGCTTTTCACAGATGAGAGCAGGTTTACCCTGAGCACATGTGACAGACTGGATCTGGAGACAGGGTCTGGAGAAGCTGTGGAGAACGGCATGCTGCCTGTAACATCATTCAGCATGACTGTTTTGGTGGTAGGTCAGTGATGGTCTGGGGAGGCATATCCATGGAGGGACACACAGACCTCTACAGGCTAGACAATGGCACCCTGACTGCCATTAGGTATCGGGATGAAATCCTTGGATCCCTTTGTCAGACCGTACGCTGGTGCAGTGGGTCCTGGGTTCCTCCTGGTGCACGACAATGCCTGACCTCATGTGGAGAGAGTGTGCAGGCAGTTCATGGAGGATGAAGAAATTGATACCAGTAAATGGCCTCCACGCTCACCTGACCTAAATCCAATAGAACACCTCTGAGATATCATGTTTCGGTCCATCCGACGCCACCAGGTTGCACCTCAGACTGTCCAGGAGTTCAGTGATTCCCTGGTCCAGATCTGGGAGGAAATCCCCCAGGACACCATCCATCATCTCATTAGAAGCATGCCCCGATATTGTCAGGCATACATACAAGCACATGGGAGCCATTGAAACTACTGAGGACCATTCTGAGTTGCTGCAATGACGTTTCAGCAAGATGGACTAGCCTGCTGCATAATTTTTTCACTTTGATTTTCGGGGTGTCTTGAATTCAGTCCTCTGTATGTTGATCATTTTCATTTCCATCAAACAATGGGGCATCCTTACGTTCCTAACACATTACCCCGTCCATGTCAGTATAGATATCCAGCATGATATTTTTTCCCATTGAGATCTGATGTGTTTTCAAAGTGTTCCTTTAATTTTTTGAGCAGTGTAGTTTGATACTTCCTGATACTGCTATGGTCTAATACTTATGGCAGAGTCAGAAAAAGTTGAAATCCAGGCAGACAGCTAACTACATAGAAAGTAATGTATTTGAGAAATGTGTTACTTGCCAAAGGATTTTTATTTTAATGTCATCCAATTCTGAGATTTGGAGAGCTCTGCCCAACAGTACTGCCCTGTCTGGCAGGGAAGGCGACCTAAAATTCCCAGCGGCAGTTTCCATTTCCATATGTTTTTGCTGAAAAATTAAAAAGGACAGGATACCTACAAAGATACGGAGGTACACATGAATGCACACTATATAGGTGGAATCCAAGTGCAAATATATTGTATTTGATATACTAAAGGCAAATAGGCTTTGCAAAGTAATTTCCCCAGAGCTTAGTGAGGTGAAGTTCATCCAATCATGTGCAGGCAAAAATGTTTGTTTTTTTTTTGTTTTGTTTTTTTCAAATTTTCCTTGCACATGATTTGGTACCATTTCAGGCCTGGAGCCAGTTTGCAGGGCAGTGTACAGTGGGCAAGCAGGGCAAAGGATGGGATATCAGAAGAAAAGTGTACAGGAATCAGTGAGGCAGTGTACAGGGGTCACTGCTGACAGGGCAGAGCCTGGGCACAGGCAGCAGGGTTTCTCCTCCACACAGCCATATTCTGCATGCTGTGTAGCTGGTTACTGCAGCTGCACTTGCATTCCGATCAGGGAATTTCACAGGTCAAAACTGCAACATAGCAGCCAGTTGCACATTATGCAGATCATGGCTGTGAAAGGGAATCTAAGTTTGGATATGTGTTATATGGGGAGGAGTTTAGCTGCCTGGCACAGCATTTGAGGTGGAGGGAGGGTGCAGGTTTGACAACCCTCTGCATCTTTTTTATTGACAAAACATGAAAAAAATTACTGAAAGTGAACATTTTTAACTTGCAACCTGAGAAAATGACAGAACAGAATAATGGCACTCATATGTGCGTTGCGCATTTTGTCACACTTTGGAATCATGTGCAGAATTGTAGTAATTCTGTATGCTATTCCAAATTGCCCCTTTAGTGGCAGAACATACTACAGAAGATGATCAGAGAGTGCAAACATTATAGAAGAGATGGTCAGAGACTGAAGAAATGATACAGGAGATGATGTGATGGATATGGTAAAATGCCTACTTGGTTTCCTGTTGAATATATACATTTTTTTATACATATCTACTTTTATATTTCTAAATGCTTTGTATGAATATATATATATGTGCTATGTGTATATATTTTCCCTGCTGGTCTTTGTGGTACTTTCTAAGTTTTGTGTTAAGAAATCCTTGCTCAAAAATGGCTGCTCAGCAACCCCTCCCATCGAGTGAAGTTTAAGAACAAAGGAAATATTTCTTTCCAGTAAACACCTAGGAGAAGATCTCTAGGAGCCCTGAAGGAAGTTTGCCTAATCTGGACATGACCAATTAGAAGCTTATACGTAGACTAGTAACACCTATGACTCTTGCATCATTTTGCATATATAAGCTCATTTCCTCATTCCAATAAAGCAGAAGTTTTTACGGACTGAACTAGTGGGTCAGTGGGAGTTTCTTCAAGTGTGCACTCCAGAGCTAGCATGATTAATTAAGGCAGGAGCAGATAATCACCGGACACTTAGTCTGTACTAAATCAATGATCACAGACTGCAAACATAATACAGGAGACGGTCAGTGACTGCAGACATGATACAGGAGAGGGTCAGAGACTGCACACATGGTACAGGAGAGGGTCAGAGACTACAGATATAATACAGGAGATGGTCAGAGACTAAAGATATAATACAGAAGAGGGTCAGAGTCTGCAGACATGGTACGGGAGAGGGTCAGAGACTGCAGACATAATACAAGAGATGGTCAGAGACTGCAGACATGATACAAGAGACAGCCAAGGACTGCAGACATGATACAAGAGATGGCCAGTGACTGCACACACATTACAAGAGAGGGTCAGAGACTGCACATACAGTCATGGCCGAAATTGTTGGCACCCTTGATATTTCTCCAGGAAATCATGTATTTCTCACGAAACGTATTGCATTAACACATGTTTTGCTATACACATGTTTATTCCCTTTGTGTGTATTGGGACAAAACAAAAAAAGGGAGGAAAGAAAGCAAATTCGACATAATGTCACACAAACCTCCAAAAATGGGCTGGACAAAAGTATTGGCACCCTTTCACAACTGCGGATAAATAAGAATGTTACAAGCATGTGATGCTCCTGTCACCTGGGGCAAGTAACAGGGTGTGGGCAATATAGAAATCACACCTGAAAGCAGATAAAAAGGAGAGACGTTCACTTAACCTTTGCATTGTGTGTCTGTCTGTGCCACACTAAGCATAGACAACAGAAAGAGGAGACGAGAACTGTCTGAGGACCTGAGAACCAAAATTGTGGCAAAATATCAACAATCTCAAGGTTACAAGTCCATCTCCAGAGAACTAGATTTGCCTTTGTCCACAGTGCGCAACATTATCAAGAAGTTTGCAACCCATGGCACTGTAGCTAATCTCCCTGGTCGTGGACGGATGAGGAAAATTGATGAAAGATTGCAACGCAGAATAGTCCGGATGGTGGATAAGCAGCCCCAAACATGTTCCAAAGACATTCAAGCTGTCCTGCAGGTCAGGGAGCATCAGTGTCAGCGCGAACTATCCGTCGACATTTAAATGAAATGAAACGCTATGGCAGGAGACCCTGGAGGACCCCACTGCTGACACAGGACATAAAAAAGCAAGATACAGTTTGCCAAATGTACTTGAGTGCCAAAAGCCTTCTGGGAAAACGTCTTGTGGACAGATGAGACCAAGATAGAGCTTTTCGGTAAAGCACATCATTCTACTGTTTACCGAAAACGGAATGAGGCCTACAAAGAACAAAACACAGTACCTACGGTAAAATATGGTGGAGGTTCAATGATGTTTTGGGGTTGTTTTGCTGCCTCTGGCACTGGGTGCCTTGACTGTGTGCAAGGCATCATGAAATCTGAGGATTACCAAAGGATTTTGGGTCGCACTGTAGGGCCCAGTGTCAGAAAGCTGGGTTTGCGTCCAAGATCCTGGGTCTTCCAGCAGGACAATGACCCCAAACATACGTCAAAAAGCACTCAGAAATGGATGGCAAAGAAGCGCTGGAGAGTTCTGAAGTGGCCAGCAATGAGCCCCAGATCTAAATCCCATTGAACACCTGTGGAGAGATCTTAAAATTGCTGTTGGGAAAAGGTGTCCTTCCAATAAGAGAGACCTGGAGCTGTTTGCAAAGGAAGAGTGGTCCAAAATTCCGGGTGAGAGGTGTCAGAAGCTTATTGATGGTTTATAGGAAGCGACTGATTTCAGTTATGTTTTCCAAAGGGTGTGCAACCAAATATTAAGTTAAGGGTGCCAATACTTTTGTCCAGCCCATTTTTGGGGTTTTGTGTGACATTATGTCATATTTGCTTTTCTGCCTCTGTTTTATATTTGTTCCAATACATACAAAGGGAATAAAACATGTGTATAGCAAAACATGTGTTAATGCAATACCTTTTTTGTGTGAAAAATACTTGATTTTCAGGAAAAATATCAAGGGTGCCAACAATTTCGGCCATGACATGGTACAGGAGATGGTCAGAGACTGCAGACATGCTACAGGGGATGGTCAGAGACTGCAGACACGGTACAGGAGATAGTCAGAGACTGCAGACACGGTACAGGGGATGGTCATAGACTGCAGACATGGTACAGGGGGTGGTCATAGACTGCAGACGTAGTGCAGGGGATGGTCAGAGACTGCAGACATGGTACAGGGGATGGTCATAGACTGCAGACGTAGTGCAGGGGGATGGTCAGAGACTGCAGACATACTACAGGAGATGGTCAGAGACTGCAGTCATGGTACAGGGGATGGTCAGAGATTGCAGACATGGTACAGGGGATGGTCAGAGACTGCAGACATGTTACAGGGGATGGTCAGAGACTGCATACATGGTACAGGAGATGGTCACAGACTGCAGACATGGTACAGGAGATGGTCACAGACTTCAGACATGGTACAGGAGATGGTCAGAGACTGCAGACATACTACAGGAGATGGTCAAAGACTTCAAGCATGTGTGTGTCTAGCAGTGAATGGTGTTTTCGCAGTGTGGAAAAATGTTGGTCACCTTATTATATGTGAACAGGGCCTTACAAAATATAACAAAGTTACAGAAAGCACAGTTAGGTGGACAGTAAATAGTTCATAAGTATGCGAAGCTGCCAGCCTGACCAGGCTAAATCCTGCAAAGGAAACATAAAAGAAACCATCAAACAAATCACAGAGGGCTCACACAGGACTCTATCACAAACAGTTCTATATAAACAGCTGAAAGCCATTACTAGTGATGTGTGACCACTCAGGTGGAATTGTAATGCCGGATGCAGCTTCTTAGAGAAAAGTAACCAAGTGGGACAAGAGTGAGGGGAGTCATTCCTACTCAGGGTGATTATTGCCTAAGCCGCACACTGATCATTAGACGTCTTGAAGATGCTGCAGCCTGTAGAGTCCTCCGTGATTTGTTTGTTTGAATGTTATCATACCTTCTAGGAAGCCTGTACTTCATGTATTTTGAATCCTGCCCTTCCCGACCGCATTCAGCCCCGCTCCGGCTGCCAGCATCTTCTCTTCTGAAACAAATGTGGCGGGCTGGGGAAGGGGCGGGTTACAGTGCTGTGTGATTGGTGGGACGTGGAACAACTCACCAGCAGTCCCTCCCTCCTACTCAGATTAGCAGTTATTGGCTAACATGCTGCTCATCCAGAATTACAATAATTTTCAGACGGTCGACAGCACTGGGGGTGATTTGCTTTGGGGGGGCGCAAATGAAATCTGGGGGGGGGATCAAAGTCCACCTTAGCACCCCCCTAGATCCCGCCATGTACCATTTAATAAGTGAAACTTCGCCACATTCACTAAACTCTGGTGAAAATGCCCTTGCAAAGTGAATGCCTATTTACCTTTTGTATACGAAACCCATTGAGTTGTATATTAATGATGCATTGACAATAAGCACACTGGTCAAAGAAAGGTGGTATTTCATCTTAACCCCTTGATGCCGATGTAATACAAACATGTGGCCTCACAGAACTGGGCTTTTTTCTGTGGGGCCACATATTTGCGTACCTGTCTTTGTGCGGGGAGCGCGCTGCACAACGTGCTCCCAGCACAAAGACCGTGGTGTCACTGAGAGCCCCGAGTCCCGTTCTAACAATCGGGACCCGGCACTCCCGAATCTGGTTGACATGATCACTGTGATAGCCTCTGATTGGCTATCACAGTGATCAGTCACTGTACAGCCCGGCCCCCTTGTGTTTTTTTTTTCTCTCTATGAATGGAGGAGAGAGATACATTGCATCTCTCTAAGGGCTCGTTCACACTTGACTTATTTCTAACTCTTGCCAAATGCCCCTATAGCGTTTGACAGGCGTTTGGGAAGCATTTTTAACGCTCCTCAAAAGCTACCCCAAATACCCTATGCACGGTTTTGAGGCGTTTGCATTAAAACCGCACCACAAATTCTATAATGAAGTTAAATGGTATTAATGCTCCGCAAATGCCTGCCAGGCGTTTGAGGAGTAGCACCATAGACTTGAATGGGAGGCTTCAACTCCTCCTGACTTGACATAGTCAGGAGAAGTAACATAGTAATAGAAAATCCAAATTTCTTTATTAGGCAAGTATTCACTTCATGCAATAATAATAATAATAATGACATTTTTGATTAAATAATCCTGACATTTTTGTAAATTTTAAATAAATCCTGGTCAATGTTATAATAAATTGACAGGATTCTTGAAAAATTGCAAATTGGTACCATGGTCAGTCCTTATATCGTGGCTGTCTGGTACAACCATACCCCCCATATTCACAACCTGGGAAAGTATAATGTAAGAAACTGAGAATGTCTGATGTTAAAGTGTTTGTTCAGAGACCATGAAAATAGAATATAAAGAACAGAACGGCTTCCAGCATATCCTTGTTACATTATGTAGAGATAAGTTCAGGATTTTCAGTTTACTTCTGCAAACACAAAATAGTTCTGACAATGGATTATTTTGTTTTCTTTTATACATGCTTTGAAATTAGAAGTGAATGTGTGGGGATAGAAAGAGGATTTAAAGGCGCAGACACCAAGACATTCTACCAGGTGAGTCACTAATCTGTAACAGGTTCACAGTGAGTGTTCTGTTGCAAATGTCACTTTATGCATTAACATACCTACACAGCCCCAGTCTGTCTGGACAATATGGTCACCTGCTGATTTCTCACCATTCATAGGCAACTTAAAGTGTTGCTAAACCCAGGACCCTGCATTCACTATATCTGGTCTCCCAGGACCCTGCATTCACAATATCTGATCTCCCCGGACCCTGCATTCACTATATCTGGTCTCCCCCCCGTACCCTGCATTAACTATATCTGGTCTCCCCGGACCCTGCATTCACTATATCTGGTCTCCCCGGACCTGCATTCACTATATCTGGTCTCCCCTGGACCCTGCATTCACTATATCTGGTCTCTCCGGACCCTGCATTCACTATATCTGGTCTCCCCAGGACCCTGCATTCACTATATCTGGTCTCCCCGGACCCTGCACTCACTATATCTGGTCTCCCCGGACCCTGCATTCACTATAACCGGTCTCCCCGGACCCTGCATTCACTATATCTGGTCTCCCAGGACCCTGCATTCACTATATCTGGTCTCCCAGGACCCTGCATTCACTATATCTGGTCTCCCCGGACCCTGCATTCACTATATATCTCCCCGGCTCTCTCCCCGGACCCTGCATTCACTATATCTGGTCTCCCCGGACCCTGCATTCACAATATCTGGTCTCCCCGGACCCTGCATTCACTATATCTGGTCTCCCTGGACCCTGTATTCACTATATCTGGTCTCCCACAGTACACAGAACGTGGAAATGCAATTATATTTGTAAATATAAACTGCTAAATACCTTTTCTTATCAGCAGTATATAGCAGTCTTGTGACTTCTATCAGTGTTCAGCAGAGCACTGGTTAATCTTGTAGGAGGAGTTTTCATTCTCCTATGAGGTTGCATAACCCCTGACCCTCTGTCTGGACAGTGCTGATTGGCCCTGTGCTGATCACATGCACTCTCCCCCCCAAAAAAACTCTCTAGCAATACACACCAAACTGAGCATGTGCAGCTTGCCCCTAAGGTGCTGTTCTGTCAGCAGATGGATTGGGGACTGTGGAAAAAGGGGAGGATCAGATAAGTGAGAATCAAACAGCCTTTTTACACATTGAGTAAGCTTTAACGAGCAGGGCCCTCTGTTTCCTCTTGTACCAAATTGTAATGTCTGCCTTCGTTTTGTAAAGCGCTGTGCAAACTGTTGGTGCTATATAAATCCTGTATAATAATAACAATAATAATTGCAGAAGATTAACCCCCTTAGCAGGGGCGGACTGACCATTTGGAAGCTTGGGCACTGCCCGAGATCAGTAGGGGGCCCCATGAGATGCCCCTGGTACCATTTTCATTGATTTTTTGAGTTTGGGCAAGGACACAGGGGCCCCATGATCCCCTATTGCCCGGGGGTCCCATGAGTTGTCAGTCCCACCCCTGCCCGTTAGGTTCCATAGTGAGTATAACAAGCATGCTTTACTCCATATACAGACTGACTTTAGTGTTGTCAGTTCAGTAACACTTTAACTCTTTAATAAGACACAGAAGGTGGATCCAGTGTAGTATGTTATATTAACTCCCAAATAATAATAACTCCCCAGTTATTTTTATATATGTAATAATAACTCTCTCTATGTAAGAATAACTCCCCTACTTTTGAAGAAACTAAATGACATAAAAGTTGAAAGTAAGAGCTTAAATTAATATGCCTTATCTGTTAATATATACATAGGAGTGTTAACAGGTTATAATTATTGAAAGTTATCATTAATTAATTATTTGGAGGATAAATTCTTTAAAACGCCAAATTCCAAGTTATAAATGCACTCGTTTAATATTAAACATTTAATTTAAAAATGTAATTTATTTTAGATAACTTACGCCTTTTTCTGTTTGGGAGTTATTATTACATAGAGAAAGTTATTATTACATATATAAAAATGACTGGGGAGTTATTATTTCATACATAAAAAAATGACAGGGGAGTTATTATTTCATACATAAAAATGACTGGGGAGTTATTATTATTTGGGAGTTAATATAACATACTGTGGGCAGCACAGTGGCTTAATGATTAGCACATTTGCCTTGCAATAAATGGGTCATGGGTTAGATTCCCAACCATGGCACCTCCTGTATGGAGTTTGCATGTTCTCCCTGTGCTTGCGTGGGTTTCCTTCAGGTGCTCCCGTTTCCTCCCACACTCCAAAGACATGCTGGTAGGTTTATTGGCTCTTGTCTAAATTGTCCTAGTTTCATCCCTGGCCATGTGGGATCTCCTGCAGGGTAGGGGTTGGGGAAAGGCCTGGCAACCTACCCTGTAAAAGTAATTGCTAAGAGAATTCATGGAAAAAGTCGCTTACAAGTGACACTCCATGCAATCGCCAAGGGTCAGATACAACTGAATGGATAAATAACATACTGCACCAGCACAATTTTATTTCAGCTAATTGCACTACACAGAGGATTTTTTTTTCCAGTCCTTTGAAGTAAAAAAAACCCAATAGCTTTCCTAAGCCCTGTCCCTGAAAAATACTAACACTGACTGAGAGTACGTGGAAGAAGCAGGGAGGCTCTAGCTGGGACTGAATTAACTAATACTAAACAAGAGGGGGCGACAGAGGAAGAAACCAGGATCACATAGTTAAACAAGTTGTAGTGGCCCAAAACTGCCACTAGATGTCAGCATACAACAGAACAATAGTAACCTAATGCAATTCAATGCAACACTGAAACATTACATAAAAGTGGGGCAGAACAGTGAGCAAAAGCTAAAACAGTCTGTTCTCCTGTCTTTATAGGGTCAGTGGCTCACTAGATAGTGAAGCCAGGGTCGGAATTACAGACCTGGAACCTGCACTTTTAATACCGCATCAGCAACACAGTGATTAAATGGTTAGCACTTCCGCCTGGCAGCACTAGGGTCGTAGG